ATAAAATTATTGGTTCTTTGCAAACTGATTAGTTGTCCAAAAGTTGGTACTTACTATATATTGTAGAATGCCAACCTCCCATAAGATAGGATGACGCCTGATTGCTAAAATAAGATTTTTCATTCAAGAAAATATAAAATTATTGGTTCCTTGCAAATTGATTAGTTGTCCAAAAGTCGTTACTTACTATTTATTGTAGTATGCCAACCTCCATAAGATAGGATGACGCCTGGTCACTAAAATAAGATTTTTCATTGACATTTTAGTATGTTCAATGAAAAGGAAATATTGAACACAACCTATGACAGAACCCTTAACGAAAATACTCTAATTTATGCTGGTGTCTTATGAATTACTATGTCCTTAATTTTGAGAAGACATTAGGCCCTGTTTGATAGGGATAATTTTCCATGGAAGATTGAAAATATTTTCCACTTTTCCATTTTTTAAGCTATTTGATAGCAATACATTTCCAGGCAACTTATTTTCCCAATTTGCTGCACGTGACCACCAATTCCAGGAAAATATAAAATACTCTAATTTATGCTGGTGTTTTATGAATTACTATGTCCTTAATTTTGAGAAGACATTAGGCCCTGTTTGATAGGGATAATTTTCCATGGAAGATTGAAAATATTTTCCACTTTTCCATTTTTTAAGCTGTTTGATAGCAATACATTTCCAGGCAACTTATTTTCCCAATTTGCTGCACGTGACCACCAATTCCAGGAAAATAAGGAAAACCAATTTCCACTTCATAGCCGGTTTTTTGTTTTCTTGGCAAACTGGAAAATTGGCAATTCCCTCACCGTTGGAGCTGCACCTTCTACTCCAAAATTCAGTGACTATGCCGCCAAGCAAACCACCGGATTTTCACACCATCATCATCTTCTCATCCCACTCTTCAATTCCATACGAAAAACCGGACATAACAATTCCAAAATCACCAAAAATTCAGCTGAAAAACGACACCTTCACGCACGGTTTCAACACCCATTCTGGCCAACCCTCCAACACCCATGGCCATACTCCTTTACAGGCTCCTAATACTCGTCTAGATGAGCATTTTCATGGTCCCATATCATCAAGAAACGATTTATAATGGATTGCATCTCTTACCAGTTCAAATGCAGCAAATCGCGCACAGTGCAGACCAAATTCCGACGCCGGCCTTGAGAATCTCGGTCGTGCACCACCACCATTTTACCTCCTATTCATTATGGCGGACAACATATACATATGGGTCTTCGTCAATTTAGCTCGAATTCAAAACCGTTGAAGATGAAATCCAACTAGGCGGCGGATGTATGAAGAAAATGGAAATGGGAGGATGAGGTTTTTATTTTGGTTAAATTGAAATTGAAGTTGAAATTGATTCAGTGATGCTGTGATGGTGAAGAAAATGAAAATGGGAGAATGATGTTGAGCACGAAATGGGTTAGCAGTGATGGTGAGGAAAACGAAAATGGGAAGATACAATTTCTGTGGATTGAATTGAAATTGAAATTGATTCCAGTGATACTGTGATGGTGAAGAAAATGAAAATGGGAGAATTATGTTTTTATTTTGCTTGAATTGAAATTGAATTGGAAATGGATTTGCAGTGATGGTGAAGAAAATGGAAATGGGAGGAAACAATTTACGTGGAAAACAAAACCAATCAAACACCAAAAAATGAAAAATCTCAATATTTTCTAGATGGAAAATTATAACAATCAAACACACTTAATTGACAATTCCCTGGAAAACAATTTCTAGGAAAATCTTTTCTTCGTAAAACATTTTCTTTCCACCCATTTTCCACCCTTACAATCAAACACAGCCTTAGATTCAATTCGTAGGACTAATTGTTTTAAGATATCAACCACTGATATCATTTTGTTGGTTAATTACTTAATATCCCTGATATCTTGGATAATTCGTTTTTATAGTAGTTGAGAATATCTATTCCCGATATCAATACCTTGACCTCTGATGCTCGAACTTCTCGAAATGGACGAAGTGCCCATGTCGACACGACACAGGTATGAGTATAGGATGTGTATCGAATCCTCTAAGTTTCAACCGAACACTTTGCTATTTCTACTTCTTTCTTTTTCTTCTTTCTTTATTTTTTTTCTTTCCCTTTACTTTCCTTTTTCTTCTTTCCCCTTTTTGCTCTTTGTAAACCTAGTGTTGCCGTCAAGAGGGTGGAGGAAGGTGGCGACACTATGTTTTCCCTCTTTTTCTTCTTCCTTTTTTCTTTTTTCTTTCCCTCTTCTTTTTTTTTTCCTTCCCTCTCTGTATCGATGGTTTCGGGTTTTCTTTGTATATAAAGAAAATGGGTTCCATATAGTTTTACTTAATATTCCACTAAATCCAAATTGCAATCAAGTCCCTCATTTTCTATTTTATATAACATTTAGTAACTAACTTCCCATAATTGCATACTAAACCCAAAAATTTTATTTCATTCGTTTTAACCCTTATTCAATACTCATTTTCTTTGTTGTGAATAATTGATTTTGGTCTATTTAAAATTACATCTTGGATTAGTAAAAAAAAATTAAATTTTGAAAAACGTACTCACGTACCCATGTCCGAAATTTGAACTCTTTTTAGTCATGTCTCTGTACGTTATATTTTAGAAAATAAAATATCCCGACACTTAGATATATACTCGTACCCGATACCTGTACCCGAATCCGAGCATAATAGATCGTGATAAAGTTTGGAGAAATAGAACATGCACATGTAGTGTAAGAGAATAATGGTATTATTCATAAATTATATACGATCAAGAAGGAGAACAAATAATATTTACCAGGTCAATGACATAATAAAATATGTTGCTTCAAACATAATTTTCATAATATCCTTTGGATACAATTATATTTCTACAGTGGAGTGAATATATGATTAATACTTTCAGCAATGAGATTCTGGGAAATGGGAATTCATGAAATATTATTAGAACTAAGATTTTTGTATGGGTCTTGTTTTCTGGCCAAGCTACTTAGTGGTTAAATGCTCATGATAGAACGATCATGAATAATTGGTCTTCAACATTCATTATGTTGAATAATTGATTTTAATTTACTTAAAACCACATATATCTGGAATGTGAATAAGATAAGTGGATTAAGAATGGACTCGTTCTATTTCAGATAAAACAAAGGTTTGACTTGTTCGATACAATAAAAGAGTCCAAAGCAATAGTATCCCTCCATGATGAGATATTGGGTAAATATTATGCAGATCATTGCCTGCCTATGTTTTAATTTGACTTCAATTAGGAAGCTGGCCGTGCAAATATTTGCCATGCACTTCATCCAAAAAATAGGATTTCAATTTCAAAAGCAGAGGGATTTTTTGGCCAGCACATCCTCCCTTTAAATTCAGATTTTATGGCAATAGCTATTATTCTTTTGGACATATTTTGGTTTCAGAAAAATCCCACGATACTTTCTGATTAAAAGCTTGACACCTAAGAAAAATTCAGATATAGTTACAAAAGGTGCCCACTCATCTGAGATACAATTATCCATGAGACAACTTGGATTGTGGAGCACTTTGTATAATTTTTTATTATCTAACAGCTATTGGGGTCTAATTCTTCCCTTTCGTACCATGTTTAATTAAAAAGTGATCATGCTTCTGAAAGGGATCTTGATTCCAATACATAGTTTATGTTTTGACCTATGTATAAATGTGTTTCTCTTTTCTTTTATTTTTTTAATTTTTAATTTTATTTTTGTGGAGAGTATCTCTCAGAATCTTGAGCACTGTTTTGGTCCCTAAAATTGAGATGACATCGATAACACAGAACAAGAAGATGATACTACTAACATCAGCATGATAAGAAAGTTGAGGACAAGGACTTATGGTATCATCCAGATTAAAAAGCCGCAATAAACTTACATGATTCCTCCGAGGACAACACCCAATGGATTCTCATCTGCAGCCAAACCAATAGTTGCAAGCTGGAAAAGTAGTTTGCAGATTGTTAGATTGGAAAGAAGAAACAGCAAATGGTGACATGCAATGAAATCATAAATATTTGACCACTGTAGCGTGGTTACCTGGCTCTTATCACCCCATTCCCCAAAGAAAGTAATCGAAAATGCCTGCAGAAATCGAATGAAATTTAGTTTAGAGGGTTGTCACATATTAGCTGTTCTGAATATGGTCAGTTTAATCAAAGCATTATGAAAACCTTCAGCAAGATGGGCGAGAAGAATTGAGCAAGAAAAGGACGATTTTGCTTCTTCAAATTGTCATCATCCTGGAAAGTTCCACAACATCACACATTCTCATCAGATATGGACAAAAAAGTTATCTTCACATGTGCTGAAATTCTTCAACAATTGAACCTAAATAACTTTTGGCATACAAGTTTCTATAAACCCATATCTAATATCAAATATTCTCAACAGATAAGATCTTTAACATGATTCAAAATATGCATTTCTAATATCATTCTAAATGTTCTATGATGTAGTACATCACAACTACAATTGATAGTTTCA